AATCTAAGAAAACATTACTACATTTGTGAATTTCCAATTTAGGAAATTCACACTATTATATACAAATTATAACTAAAATACAAAAAATTCATCTTTAAACTAAAAAATGAAAACGTGAATTTCCAATTCAGAATCCTCACAACTATATTTTGTGAATATCCAAAGCGGAAATTCACTAATATCTATTTTGAATAAAAAGGGTAGATAAAATAGGTATTTTATATCTCCTCAACTGATTAATTATATTAAATTACATTATATTGAATCAATATTATCTAATAACAGCTATAGTAAAATGTAACAAGTATATTCCCTTATTGCTATCTTGTGTTTTTATAAATTGAATTCAATTGATTTTCGAAAATACTCTATATTACTTAAAATAATTATATTTACAATAATAGTTAATTAAGTAAAGAAAATAAAAACTTATCACTGTATTATTTCAAGGTAACTTATTTTCACACATCATTTTTTTTAATCAAATTACACTAAACGATCAAATAATTTTCTTAAGCATTAATAATAATTAAAGAAAACTCTCATACAATAAATGAAAAAATAAGCACATCATATTATTTATAAATGAATGTTGATACTCTTCGAAAACACAATATTTGACGAAAATAAATCATTATATAATCAAATTTATTAATTCATTCAATTAAATATAATTGCAGTATCTAAATTAATTATGAAATACCATTGCATACACATGGAACAGCATTTAATCAATTTCATTCATTTTTGTCTAGATTGTTTAAAGAATTCAAAGCATATTTTTCCTTTTAAATTACTGGTTATTTTAATTTTATTTTCAATTTCAGCTTACAAAAACAAGGAGTAAGTTTGAATTATATAAATTTATAAAATAATATTCAAAAATTGAGAAATTTTCTTTTCTAAATAATAATAACATAATCAATAGAATATTAAATAAGAGGAATTATCAATAATGTATCTTTAAGTAATAAGGTTATTATTTCTATTCATTATTTAATTTAAGAAGGTTCTTCATATTTAAAACTCTTGCCCTAAATGAAATTGATATCATAATAATACGATGCTCAAATTTTTATTCATTTTTCATTTCAACTGATTAGAGCCTTACAAATAAAATGAAATAAAATTGGCTTTGATGAAAATTAATTGAGTTTGGTCAATCCAAAATAGAACAATTTTATTAGAACTAGACATGAAAGATTAGGATTTTATTGTAGGGTATTTTTCTACAAATTATGAAATTTAAACCTTAATTAAAAATTTATAAAAGAAAAATTTTATACAGATCTGTCCCAAATAATGTTGGTTATTTATATTGCAGAAACACAAATTCCTACAAAAGAAATTGATTGAAAAAAAAAGACAAATGTTAATTATTACTAATTATACCCATAAAATGATCAAAAATAACAATTGATAGGACTTGGTGAATCTTTGACTAATAAACTCTTCAATTTCATCCTACTTAAATTACCTAAAAAATTAAAAAGTATTGATTGGAATAAAACCAAGACAATAGTCATCACTTAAAATTTAAAATAGATGAACTAGAATATTTCCTTGATACAAATTCTCTTTATTGCCAATAAATAAAAACGATTATCTAATACTCAAGAACTTTTCTTTCATTTTCGAGTAAAATTTGAACTGAATTCAATATTAATTAATAAAAATGATTTATCCCGTATTTATAAGTATTAATACATTCTCTCAGTCCATTATTTGATTACAAGAAATTCCTATTATCTCCTAATCGCGATTTCTCTCCAAATTAAGACGATTAACTGCAAAATAGTGCACTGTTTTCCATGCTTCAAGTGTTTAATATCAAATTCGTAGCAATTTGAATAGAAATACTATGAATTTTGTAAATCTTAATCACACATTTACTCAAGTCTTACTTAATTTGCTATATTAGTGTTAAAATTTTTAAGTAACAAATTTCACATATTTGTTGTTAATCATTATTTTAAATATGTGCATTTATGTTATGGGTAAAAAAATTAACTTTTAAGAAGGAGTTATAAGAGAGGAGGCTGGAACACTTTTTACTAAAGAGATAATGGTAATGGAAAATATTTCAATCTCTTTTGACACAGCCCTTGGAGTTTTCATATTAAACAATTCTACAGAATAAACTAAGCCAAATATGAATCAGCAAATGCGCAGGGAAAAATATAGAAATATTTCGAAATAATTATAGGTGTTAATCAAAAAATTAATTATTTTAAAGGCTCATAGAAAATTTAGGAAACTTAATAGATTAGGATGTGGGAAGACAGCAGGAAAAGTAGTTCACTAATTAGATTTCAATATACAATTTGAAAATTGCCTAAAGTGATCCGATTAATTCTAATCTAAACAACATTTGGGAATATTAAGGGTAGGATCAACTACCTAATTTTAGACCTATTTTGAGGTTGTATTATGGAAAAATATTTGTACGAGAATATCTGATTGTTAATTAGTCATTATCACTTTGCACGTTTTCAATTATGTATTTTCATAAAAAAGAAAGCTTTTATTTAAACTTTGTTCTTCTAATCAAATAATAAATAGATGAGCAGAAGGAAAATGTTTGAAGTTGAAGAACTAAATTTAAATAACTATGAAATATCAGAAATAATTAGCAAACATTAAAATAGACAATTTCTATGTTGGGTAGTAGAGGATATTAATTTTATATCACTTTTTATAAAATAAATCTTGAAATAAGAGTAGAGAACAACTAATTAAAAAAAATGGAATTAAAATTTGTTTTCGGCTTATGAATAGCCATAATATAAATTAATAATCAATTATTATTTAGAAACTTAGTTTTGTTTTCATATTTTTCTACTTCCCATTAACAGTAAAATAAAAGTTTTGATTATATTCCTAATGGTCAGACTCAACATTCACAATTTCTAAAATACAATCAAATTTTAGCTATTGAAATCTAGTCTTCAGTTGTTAAGTTTTTTAAAACCATAAATAATTTAAATTGAATAAAATTATAGAGGGCTTAGAAAAATTCTTTATGAATGTCATCCTTATCAATTGTTGTGTCAAAAATGGGCCTATGTATTATTAATTAATGTCTTTAAATTAGATTCTATTATAAAGTCAAATTTTTTCAGGGATTGATGAAATTATTATGTTGAAAACCTTATTGTAGCTTACTTTGTATGAACAATAGAAATTAAAGGCATAGGTATATAAATACATGTTATTTTCATGATGTATAAAAAATGCTATATACTCAACTCAAGTTAATTCAGGTTTTTCAAATGGAAATATTAAATATTTTGGACTTTTTCTATTTATATAAAAATTAAACTGAATTATCTATGTTACATATCTCAAAAAGAAAATGCAGTTCTTCTTGTTTGTAGTTTAACCAAAGAATAAATAGTTTAAAAATTTGTGATAGGAACTCAAAAATATTTAGTTTATACCTGGCGTTCATCCTTTGAGTTCTTCATCAATCATTCTAATTGGATCACTAAGTATGTAATGACTGAATAAGTTATTATATCTAGTGGGTAAGATCAATTTTAATGGAGGGCTCTTATTGCATAAAAATTTATTTAATATAAATTAAAATTTTAAATGAGATTTTAATCAAATTTTAGATATGAATAGTAAAAAAAGAATAAATACCAAAAAAAAAAAAAGTATCTTCATTTGTTGTTTTCTTCTATTTTTCAATATAATATTTAAGTAAATTTTATCTGATAAGAATTAAGAACAATATATAGTTATATTATATTTTACTATCTCAAATATTTTTGGCAAATATATACTATATGCCAATAACTTATATGATATCAGATGTATAAATTAATTATTAAAAATGAATGATTAGTTAAACAAAATTAATAAATATTAAGAACTCATCTAACGCTCTTTTTGGTTTAACTTAGAAGGAAAATTAAAGATGGAATGCGAGTAAAAAAGATATTACAATTACATAAAATTCAGTTTAGTAAATTAATTTTGCACTTTTTGAAATTGACAATAAATTTAGTTTCGAACTGAACATATTTCTGAAATTTACAATTGGGTAGATAGGGACTGCTTTCTTTTGTTTAAAAATTATCTTCGTCATTTCTAACCCAAAACATTCCTTCAATTCTCATACAACAATTAAAAAATGGAAAATAAAACATCAAATAATCAGAAATTTATATCATAAGGCTAATCACCAACAAAAAGATCAAGTGATTTGTAAATTTTAATAACATTTGTATTTGAAAAAGTAATGAAATGGAGTTTAATTGATTGTCTTTTTATTTTAATTATTAATTATATGGAATTTAATTATTAATTCATTTTTAACAATTGATTTCTATTTATATAATTTTTAATACAATAAAATGTAAATATATTATTGCTTTAAACTGCATTTTTTCAATATTTGTTTTGCATTAATCAAATCAACAATGTACTGAATTCAAAAGTTTTTTATATGATTAATTATGAAATTGTTGTGTTTTATATTAGTCTTGCATAAAATAATTCAAGAGTTTTTGCATCATCATCATATAATAATAATTGTTCAATCCTGTTATATGCCTATATGAATCAAACTATATGAAGTACGCTATCACAAATTATTTCAAATCGTGCTATTTCTTTATCATAATTCTAAATTTTTTATAAAATAAATCCTATTAATCTTAATTTATTAACAACAGCTGAATGTTATTATTAGATTTAATAATTTCTTTCTGGTTTAAACAACAAGCAAGCACTATTATGTTTTTCGAAAGCATAAGAATTAAACAGAAAATTGTATTTTTCTATTTCTATATATCCTAATAATATTAATTATTATAATTCATTAGAAAAAACAATTTATAATTGATTTTGACCTCATTCCAGCTCATTTTTTAATCAATCAGAATAGTATCAATTCTAATTTATTATTAATAATTTCTCGCAATTCATATGACTAAATTTATTGCTCGAGATGAATTTGTCGGGGAAGAGTTCCAAACTTAAAAGATTTGATTGGTTAATTTATCCTCTATTTTTTAAATATGAAGAATTAAGCGAAGAAACCTAAATTTAAAATTACTAATCAAAATACAGGAATTAGTGTATTTCCTAAGAATGATTAAAATTTAGAAGTAAATCTCAATTAAACATTCCTCAGTAATTCTATGTTATTATAAAAGAATATATTTTCTTATAAAATAATATATCAGGATATTCTATTTAAAATAGTGGCTGCATTTAAAAGGAACTCAATCTTAGTTATATATTTTTGATAAATTTTGATGAGATATGACCTTATTTAAGTTGGATTTGATTTTTAATAGATGAATGAATACAATTGTTTAAGATGAAACTATTTGTTTTTTTCATAACTTTGAAACAAAACAGATACTTTAATTATTAAATTGGTCGAAGGCAGAACAAATTTGAGTCTAAAATGGTTGAGAAAAATAACATGATTCTTAATTTTTCCTACGAAAGGTTTAAATATAGAAAAGGAAAAACAAATTTTTTGAACATTAAATCTAAATACTCGATCAGAAAAAGATGCATCCTATTATAATCAGCTGTTAGCTAGCTGTTTAATTCCACAAAAGTTTTCTTTTTTACTCACCTTCTTGAAAATTGGCCAATTTGTCTTTCTTGATGGTTAATTATTTATTGAGTGACTCATTCAATAAATAATGAGCTGTTCTAACAATTAAATTAAGGCAAATATAATAGTTTTACTAATAATGTAGCATTTGTAGAATCAAAATATCCGAGAAAAATATTTGAATTTTTTATGGAAATTGCCTCCTGCAGTATGCATTTATTCAAATTAAAATTGATTATTTTCTAATTCTATTTTTGAACAAATATTTTCAAATGAAAATCTATTTCATTTCTAAAAAACCCCACAAAAACAAATATATTTAGTTATGTCGTGTAATTTAATAAGTTAATTTTAGGCAAGAATGCAACTATCAGTTATTTTAATGTTGCAGACAATGTAAATATTAAAGAATTTTATGTCTCTTATAAAGTGATTTTATAATTAATATTATTGGGTATGTAATTATTTAATAAAAGTTTTGAATTTCAATTTAAAATATTGAAAACGTATTAAGCCAATAAAATTCAATTATTTAATTGACTGAATGTATATTTTCTAAAGGATAAAAGATGAATATGAATTTTTCAATAAAACTAAGAATAATTTTTGATTTTTA